GGCAGGGGGTCAGGCTAGATGATCTGTTCAGGTCCCTCCTGCCCCTAGCTACTATGAAACTATGAAACCCAGTGATCCCAGCTGGTGTTGCAAACAGAGCTATGGGGGGAGCATAGCTGGACAGGAGCTGGAAGCCTGCAATTAACTCCTCATGGGCTCCATGCCCAGGTGAACAGCCCCAGCATACAGCACAGAACGTAATACAAGCCATATGACGAAGGGCTCTGAGAAGTCCCAGTAACATTGTCCATAAGACCAATGAAGGCCATACAAGGTTATAAAACCTGTGAAAGGCCCGAGGGAACTTAGCACTGACTTACAGGGGGTGAGTATTGAATACCTCTCACCCATCTGGGCCTGAGCCAGGGTGACCTAATTAAGAAGCTGCAGTGGGTAGCAACAAGGCTATGAATCAAAGCTCCCAAACTTTTCCTTGGAATTGTGTTTGCATTTGGCAAATGTCTTGGACCAGGGCTGCCCAAGGGAAGCTCTGCGGTGGTCAGCAGCTTGGTGACAGCCACTTGGAAACAGAGACAGGTCCAGGTAGCACCTGCTAGACCCCTATTCAGCAGAGAGCTAAAGGAAGCCCTGGTTAGGTGTCTTGGCTCCTGTGTGGCTCCTGTCACCAGGCAGAGGGTGGGGGAGCGATATTGTTTCTGCAAATCAGCAGATTGACTTACCAAGATGTTTAATGAGGTGCCTGGTTCCAGAGCCAGGAGCTAGGGAGGAGCTCCTGACACCGCTCCCAGGCTGAAGTTCCCAAATGAAAACAGGACAGCAGGGGCGGAGGCTCCAACATAAAATCTGAGCCAGAAGCCACATCCAGGCATCACCCAGCTCTGCACGTGTGCACGGAGCTGCGTGCACGTGCACCGAGATCACAACTCAGCACATCTGCACTGGAGGTGGGGTCCCAGGGCAGATCCAGAGGGAGTCTGAGTGTGAGTCTCTGACTTTTGGCATGCCCTAACATCGCCTTACTTGCCTTTCCATGCAGAAATGCCACCATCTGTGTCTCTCTCCAGAGACCTGTCCTGGCCAGCTTGGGACACTGGGGTTGAATTCCTGAGGGAGAGGGGATTTTCCTCCCTGCCTAAGTGACAATAGCCTGGTGCCGAGTCCCTCTGGTCACCTGAGTGGGGGAGGGAAAAGCCCCTGCTCCTCTGCCCAGGTAACCAGTGATGCTTTTTAAATTGGTTGGCTAGTTGCCAACACTGCTGGCTTCTATTGGACTGGGCTGCTGAGGTCAGAAAGGCTAGATAAGAGCTGGTCCAAGAAGAAGGAGAAGAGAAGCCATTTTTCCAGCATGGCACAAGCATCAGGACACAGGGAGAGAGTCTGATCCAACTGAAACGTACTCTCCCTGGAAATCTCCGAGCCAGATCTCTATCATCTTCTGGATGATACTCGTGAGTGTTTCTAGAGAGCTAGTCAGCTCCCAGTGATGCATTTGCATATCAAACGGCTACCTCAGCCAGACTGTTTTGCTCAATGGTAATCCCTTGATATTGCTCTACCTCTTACCCTAGTCTAACCCTACCCTTTGTAACCAATAAAGTTCCCCTTTGTGACTGGTGTAGAAGACTTATTGAGGCATGGGTTTATTTATGCCTAGGAGGCCTCTTAGGTCTATGGATTAAGGGAGACTATCCTTTTTGGCCCCTGACTCGGGGAGGAGCCCCAAGTGCTTGGATTGGGTTGAGTACCCATAGGACTATTAGGCCTGTGTTTCCCCGAGGACACAGAACTTAGAAGGTCCCCTCTCAGGGTGGTGGCAGCACATTACCCCCCAGACTCTATGGTGGGGCTCGAAAGGGGGTCTGCTAGGGCTTAGGCACCCCTGGGGAGACACGTGGAGTCTGGCAGGTGGACGGGCGTAGTGAGGTGGGAGGCTCAACACAGGAGATCCCCCTACTGGCCCTTCACAGTCCCCTCCATGGCTGACTGCGAGGCGGCTGATGGGTCCCAGGGCAGATCCCGAGGGAGTCTGAGTGTGAGTCTCTGACTTTTGGCATGCCCTAACATCGCCTTACTTGCCTTTCCACCTTCAGTGACTTTTCATCAAAGGGCACAACACCCCATCAGATATCAGCAACGGGATTTTGACTAGGCTGTGCCATGGTTGCTGCTGGGACCGACACCGGAGGGTCCTGGCTAGAGGGTCTTGCCGCTTGGCTCAGGGTCAAACCAACACTGCATTGGGGTCAGACACACCAACTGCTGAAGCTTCCTTAGCCTGACAAAGGGTTTTTGAACCAGAAAGCTTGCTTAATAACTATTCTCCAACCATTTGGGTTGGTCTAATAAAAGATATCAAATTCACCCAAGGAACCTTGTCTGCCTTGGGGTCAGGAAGGAATTTTACCTCTCGGTCAGATTGGTACGGACTGGGGGGGGTTGCCTTCCTGTTGCAGGGGGCACGGCCTCTACCTGGGATCTCTCGAGTGTCTATTAACAGCCTCTAGAGTGGCAGGACATTGGCTGCCGTGGTCCCCCTGCTTCCCTTGTGGCAGGGTCGGGTGCGATGTCTGATGCTGTGTCAGGGTGGATGATAGTTTTCTGAAGAGTTTAGATGCCCATTTTGTCTGGACTGGTTTGGACAGGGCCGATCCTGCATCAGGCAGGGGATTGGACTAGATGGGACCTCTGGAGCTCCCTTCTAGTTATGCTTCTCTAACATTTCTATGATCAGCACTACTGCTGTGAAAGTGCCGTGCCCCTGACTCCTCTAGAGAGGATATGGACCATCCGACGCAGTTTGTCATTGCAGTCACCAACCTGCAATTGTCTGTCGTTTTATTTCTTTCTTATGCTGCGAACATCTGTGCAATGTTCCCCATTCAGGAGACACCTCACCCACTTCTCTTACATTTCTGTAAAGTAGCTAAGCTGGCAGCACCCAAAAGAAGCTGCAAC